TAAAGTATTTTCTTTGATATTCTTTGTTCTACGTTAATTCAACTGTAACTTAATGACTGTAGGTACTACTTTATCTGAACCCTGGAATAATGGTTAAGTAGATGACATGATGAACAGAAGTAGCAGTACATTCAAATCTTGGAGATTAAAAATGAAAAATAAGTCAGAAATATAAAAAATTCAAATGAAAAGTAAGCTTAATTTCAACAATGAATTAAACAAGACTAAGCAAAGCTCACAGATACCCACATGGGAAAATGTAGGGTTTATTTCCAGAATAAAAGGACATAGTACTTGTACAGCAATTAGTGAATTCAGCTAGATCCAGACTCTGTATGTAACTACTTGGGAAGAAAGTAGAAATCAACAGCATCTTAAGCTGAGACAAGACACCTCCTGACCAGATCTGATAAAAGGTCAAATCATTAAAGATGAGAAGTGTTGGAAGAGCCTGACAGTTCAGCTGAACTTGGTGCAATCTGTTGTTGTATCCTAGTAGTTAATCAAAATAACTTGTGACCATTTATCATGAGCTCATAGTAACAATCATGATAAAAATATGCCTTCTGTGCAAATGAACCCTTTGATTTCAATGAGATACTAGTTCAGCTAAGCCATTCAGCCTTAATTCTGGTTACTAGTGACCTTTTTTTAAAGTGGTGGAGTGGGGATCTAGTGTCTTCAATATTGTTCGGAAATTGCATGGCAGACTTAAGATTGGTTGGGTTCCAGAACTGTACATTTCCATACCTTAATGTGTTTCGATTTCTTAAGTTTTTCAGCGTAACTCTGAATTTCCTTGGCTAGTAATGCATATCTTTGGGATAACTAACACATTACTGAATTTTTATACCCCATTTTAACTCCAGTTTAATTCCGATTTTTATATAGGAATTTACTTATGTAGCTTGTGAGAAGTAATTTGACTAGTTATTTTGGAATGCAATGGTGAACTGATGGTTTATTGTTTGATTTCCAGCTGTTTACCATTTAGTAATGAAGCAGAGTCTAGTTTGCCATCTTCACCCAATCCTGAATCCAATTCTGAGCAAACAAGTAAATTTGGACTTTGTAATGCTGCTGGCAACCTTATCAGACGTTGCCAGCAGCATTAAAATAAAAATAAAATCTTGTTTAGATGAAATTTGAGGTTATTTAAATAGTTTTGCCAAAAAAAGTCACATGGTAATTGTATGGAAAAAGCTGCCAGTTTAATGATATTAGACTTATAGCAGCTTTGTGGTATTTTTTTTGCTTTTCCCATGTAGTGTTTTTAATGTAGCTGCTCAGTTAATGTGAACTTTGACCTTCATTCTGTTCTTAATTTGTTATGCCGGATAATGCACTTTGATTTTATTAGATTTTGTTGAAGGTTCACTGAATTATCCAGTTGCTGAATGAAGTCAGCTCTTTTAGTAAATCCTTTTGATTTATAGTCTTGTTAAGATATTTTATTTGATTTCAACTAATTTAGTTTTTAATTACGCACCCTCCTCCTTCACTTTCTTTTGTTTTGGTATTTAAGTTGTTTTTCCAGGTTCTGTACATTGACTTCTTTATACCTTCACTTTGTAATGAATAACTGCCTTGATGGATGAATTTATGGTTACAAAGTGGAGGAGAATGGAAGTATGAAAATAACTTTATTTTTATTTTGATAGTTATTGTTTAGCATTTAAAATGAAGATGCCAAATTCTTGGTATGTCCAAAATTTCACCCAACTTTTCCCTACCTTTATCAATTTGATATGTGACATTTACGTTTGGTTCCTTTTGTGTTACAACACCAGTGAGATCTTTAGCTTCTGGGGTTTTCTTCCCCTCCCCCCCCCCCCCCCAGTTTACCACAGTCTCCAGGCAAATGTACAGACAACAGCAGTTAACAAAACACAAAATTGACAATAAACAGAGAAGATTTCTCTTGCCTGTGAATGACTACCCACATAAAATTCATGCTTATCCATGCTCTATTTGTGTTATCTGAGCACCATTGGTAGTCTTCCAGCACTTCAGGAAAAAAAACTAATCCATTATTAATTATTAGAATTCTTAGTATTTATACTTAAAATGGAAATAAGCTCATATTCATATAAATTCAAATTATTTTTATAACTGAAATTAAATATAGGTCACTCAGTGACACTTCTTAGAAGCTGATTGGGGAAGGAAGGAAATAAAAGCTGGTGTGTAATACAGGCAGCATGCTCACAGTAATAAACAATTGAACTTAAGTGCTGGGTCGTTCTCCAGTGAGCTAGGAGGTTTTGCAGAAGGTTGTCTAAAAAGTGGGATTTTGGAACAGGCCTTGTGGTTTGGTGAGTAATGGGAAGAGGGAGAGTTGTCTAAGGCAGAAGAATAATTTGGTTTTAATTGAGTTGAAGATTCATTTGGGTGAACTGCAAGGTTGCTATATGGTTGTTAGGGGATTGTTGGGCATATGATCCAGGAAATGTGAGTAAAGAATTTTACAAGAATTAATGATGATAGCTGCTTAAAGAGGTTGGGAATATTACCAAGAGTACTCAGATACACTACTAACTTTGTTCAAAATCACTGTTATTTTTTCTTCTTTAATGGTGACCTTTTTTAAAGCTATGGCATGAACTAGAGCAGGGGTCGGCAACCTTTCAGAAGTGGTGTGCTGAGTCTTCATTTATTCACTCTAATTTAAGGTTTTGCGTGCCAGTAATACATTTTTAACGTTTTTAGAAGGTCTTTCTATAAGTCTATAATATATAACTAAACTATTGTTGTATAAAGTAAATAAGGTTTTTAAAATGTTTAAGAAGCTTCATTTAAAATAAAATTAAAATGCAGAGCCCCCCGGACCGGTGGCCAGGACCCGGGCAGTGTGAGTGCCACTGAAAATCAGCTTGTGTGCCGCCTTCGGCACGCGTGCCATAGGTTGCCTATCCCTGAACTAGAGTATTGGATAAATGGGACGTGACAGCTAAGATTTATGGTTGTTGCAGTAGGATAGCAAGGAAATCACAGCCTTTCCTTTCTGTTTACAGTAGCATGCTGTGGAGTACTACAGCAGTATAACTACTATTAAAGATGTTTCAGAAATAGGGAAAGGAGACTTGAGTTTACTTTTTAGGTTTTATAAACTTGTGAAGAAAACCAAGGTTTGCTAAATGCAGAGCAAGGGTTAGTTTTTCTTCCTTTCGACCAAGGAAGATTTAACAGAGTACAGTGTCTGCCCGTCTGCTCAACAGAGACAATTGTTTTTATGAACTCATGCTATCTGATATTCAGGACAGTTTCAGGTTGCCCATTATACACAAATTTATTGTTTATTGCCAAGACTAGTAAACATCACCCTGATTAAAAACAATACTTATAAATGGATGTGGGGACGGAGTTTTTTGACCTTGTAATGTGAGAGATCATTGTGGTATTAGGGAAGAAAGAGAGAAGAAAACCAGACAATAGAAGCTTTGCCTTTCTAATGAAGCCATGTGCTTTGGTACATCCCTATTGCAAAGTTCAACCATTCAAAAATGAATCAGGCTCCAAAAAATCATGAGATTGGCTTAAGTATCATCTCTTTAAAAATGATAAATATGATGATCTTTTTATTTGCCTTCTGTTATTTAATCCTTTAGAAGACACTCATGTCATGTTTTCAAGCCTTTCTCCGTAACCATGAGGGCTAGACATTTTAAATGAAAGCTGAGATTCTCATGTTTCCAGAAGTAGGGTCAAGACTTGTAATAAAATTGCCAGAGTTGGCGACACTGCTACTGAGGACAGCATTTGAGCACATGGTTAAAGTTAGCATGTGCTTAAATGCTTCTTAAATAAGGGTTATTTCCTGAATCCCTGCCCAGTTGATGAAACTGAATATTTGGTTATTTGAATCCAATATATTTTTGTGAGTGAACCCTCTTGATACATTTATATAGCTAAGATGATGGGTTTGAGCCTGCTTTTGGTTCCCTTGGTCTCCTCTAACTGGTGGAGCTTGTTTAGACAGAAAATTACTGCTCGGCAACCTATTGTGTGAATCTACAGTGGCGCAGCTTGCTATGGAGTAATGTCTCATGTGGACACTGCTACAGCGCAGTGAGAGTTCTGGAGCGCAGCTTAGCACGATACATAGCAGTACGCTAAGCCACACTCCGGGACAATCTCTGCGCTATAGTAGCATCCATGCAAGATTGCTGCGCAAGAACCTGGTGGTGTAGATTCACATCCTGGCTTGCAGCATGGTAATTTGCTATGTAGAGCAGACAGGTGCCAGTAAACTTCTTCCAGCTCTTATTCATAGAGCCCTGCAAATCTGCAGATAGCCGCATCATACCTGCGAATAGCCACAGACCATGTTTATGGCTCAGGGATTGGATGCAGATACAAATTTTGTATCTGCACAGGGCTTTACATATACACTCTGTCATCTCCTCTACTTGATTTTCCATCTTGGAAGCAATCATGTCAGTGATCATCTCCAATAAACCTGTTAGTTGTTTCTCAGAGTCTGGTTTTCTTAAGGAAAATACATTAAAATTAGTGTGTAATTGCACATTGAAAGCTCAGAGAAAAAATAATTGCCCCCAAGTTAAAAAAAAGTCTCTCTATCTTTTATATTTATATATGTGTATATATATAAATATAGCCTTAAGACAGTCTGATTCCTTAAAGTGGAGGAAAAAAATGATTCTTTATGAATCAGTTAAGTCATTAATAATTTTCTTTGTAAGTGTGTAATTTGAATAGAATACAAATAAATTCCAAATGCTTTTGGGGTATCCTTAATGTGTTATTTTACTAATATATTAAGGCTTTAAAAGAATATATTAGAAATATGGCAGCTCTAGAGGTTTTTTCTGGAAAGCAATAGACAGCAACAAGTAGTAGACAGCAGTTAAGCTCCATAATTGTAGATATATCTGCAATAATCAGTTCATGTTGTGTATTGTAAACCATTGCAGTAATTTCTCTATTATTGACAAAGTATTGCTCGAGACTCAAAGGCAAATCCTCTTCCTGTCTTACAGATTAATAGAAATATGCATTGCTATAATATCATATTGGAATTGATGAAGTGGAAATACAGATGAAGACAGTCTGAAGAAGATTTTACATAAAATATACTTCCATCCAACTCCCCAACTGAGGTAAGGTGAAACCAAAAAATCCCTAACCCACCTAAGAGTAATAAGGGCATTGTTAAACCTTGATTTATTTATTTATTTATTTATTTAAATAAGGAACATAAACATTTTCACACAAACCATATTCCCCATTAAATGTAATATTGGATATGGAGTACAACAACCACTTTCCTTCTGTGCCTCTGTTCCAACTGTGAAAAAGTAACCAGATTCAAAAATATTATTCCTTCCTTGGAAAACAAGAATTGCATTATCACATCAGACTAAAAGTCCATCTAGTTTGGTATGATATCTCTGAAGGTCCATAGCATCTATAACACTCTAGGATACCATGTCTGTGGGGCAAGTTTCTTCCTATCCCCTAGCAAAATAATTAATTTGCATGAAATTTTATAAGACTTATAAATATTTTTCCTAGCTGGTATTACTGTAGTTATTCTTACTAGCCACATCTAATCTTTTTTTAATCCGACTAAGTTTTTGGCCCTTGAGTCATTGAGTTCCACAGGTTAATTATGCATGCTGTAAAGAGGTGTTTTTTTTTCTTTACTCGGTTTCAGATATGCTGCTTTTTAATCGCATTGGGTTTTTTAAATTGTATTTTGAGGGGGTAAGCGGAAGCACCCAGATAACCACCTCTGTTCTATTACTTTACATACCTCTATCCTTTCACCTCGTATGCATCTCCTCAATAAACTACCTACTTCTAATTTTCTTATTTTCTCACTGTATGGAACTCTTTACAAGCCTGTAGTCATTTCTGTTGCTCTGTATAGCCATTTTTCTGTTTCTATTATGTAATTTGTGAGATGGCATGACCAGTGATGACACAGTTTTGATTCAAAGTAAGGGAGGACTAAGAATTTATTTAGTGGCACTGTAACATTTTAAGTTTCTTTCTTAATACAATCTAACTTGGTTTATTTTTTTGACCACTGCTGGACATTGAGTAGATGTTTTCATTGAACTGATCACAGTGATGAGTTGGCCTTCTTTCTGAATGAGTAGAATTAATTAGAATACTATTTGTATTTATTTTCATGGAACTTCATCTGAAATTATCACCTAAAAATCAAATGGCTGTGATAGATCCATGTGTACCATAATCACTACATTATAAACCAATGTTATGCCTTTTTTTTTTTGTAATTATGAAAGTTTATTAGTATTGGTGCAAAATGTTCTTATAAGAACATAAGAAAGGCCGTACCGGGTCAGACCAAAGGTCCATCTAGCCCAGTCTCCTGTCTACCAACAGTGGCCAATGCCAGGTGCCCCAGAGGGAGTGAACCTAACAGGCAATGATCAAGTGATCTCTCTCCTGCCATCCATCTCTACCCTCTGACAGACAGACAGGCTAGGGACACCATTCCTTACCCGTCCTGGCTAATAGCCATAAATGGACTTAACCACCATGAATTTATCCAGTTCTCTTTTAAACGTAGTTATAGTCCTAGCCTTCACAACCTCCTCAGGTAAGGACTTCCACAAGTTGACTGTGCGCTGCGTGAAGAAGAACTTCCTTTTATTTGTTTTAAGCCTGCTACCTATTAATTTCATTTGATGACCCCTAGTTCTTGTATTAGGGGAATAAGTAAATAACTTTTCCTTATCCACTTTCTCCACATCACTCATGACTTTATATATCCCCTTAGTCTCCTCTTTTCCAAGCTGAAGAGTCCTAGCCTCTTTAATCTCTCCTCATATGGGACCCATTCCAAACCCTTAATCATTTTAGTTGCCCTTTTCTGAACCTTTTCTAGTGCCAGTATATCTTTTTTGAGATGAGACCACCACATCTGTACGCAGTATTCGAGATGAGGGCGTACCATCGATTTATATAAGGGCAATAATATATTCTCTGTCTTATTCTCTACCCCCTTTTTAATGATTCCTAACATCCTGTTTGCTTTTTTGACCGCCTCTGCACACTGCGTGGACATTTTCAGAGAACTATCCACAATGAC